CAAAATTAGAACAACAAATGAGGTTTGATTGATTAGATACTAGTCCTCTTTTTAGCAAATGAGGTTTACTTAAGCTAATTATAGAAAATGAAACATCATATGGAGACAACCAACCAAATCTCATCCACAGACAGACTTGTACTTGCAATGCAAGTTGCAACTTAGGATATTTAATAAATTTAAATTTAAAAAAAAAAAACCAAAATTCACCTAACATCCTTCTTCAAAATTAGAACAACAAATGAGGTTTGATTGATTAGATACTAATCCTCTTTTTAGCAAATGAGGTTTGATTGAATATAATCATGAGTACATACATCTTAGAACTTTCAGGAGAAGAGAAGACATATGGATATTCTCAGCAATTATTGACACTTTATTGCTTTGTCAACCTTTTAGGAGATATAATTCTCTAAGATCATTCTTTTCTTTGTATGAAGCACATATTGTAAATCCTCCTTGTTGTATTTGCAACTCTTAAGAGTTGACATAATCACATATTGTAAATCTATGTATCAATGTTAGGAAAACCATATCTGCAGATTTGAATTCAAAAGTGTGATTTGAATTCAAGAGTATGATTATGTCTATTGACCTTTCTTACTTAAGCTGGTTATAAAGAATGATACATCATTTGGAGACAACCAGCCAAATCTTCTCCACACATAGAGACATATACCTGCAATGCAAATTGCAACTTAGGATATTCAATTAATTTAAATTTTTAAAAAAAATAGGGCCATAGACAATACCTGGATTAATCTTCCAATGATACGATAAAGTTGAACCATATTCTAGTATATAAAAAAGGCTTTTTATCACAAAACGTCCCTGAAGTTTACGAAACTATCAGATTGCATTCTTAAAGTTTTTTTTTATCACTCATAGTCCCTAACGTTAATATGAGTGCTCTTAAATAGTCCTTCTGTCAAACAAAATGTTAAATCCAGGGATATAATCGTCAAATCAATCCAAAATTATGAAATATATATATTTTATTTCCTTCCCTTCTCTCTTTCTTTCTTCTTCTTTTTCTCTTCTTTTCTTCTTCTTCTCTCTCCGCCACATTCCTTACCTCTTCTCTCTGTGTTTCTCTTTTTTTTCCCCTATCCTCTGTCACTCTCCTTTTTCTTCTTTCCTAGCAGCGGTCAACTTACTCAACTATTACAAAAGAAGAAAGAAGGCTTGTGATTATTTTATTGAATATAAATCTTTGAATATTGTAATCAATGATGACAAAACTAAGGCTTGTTTCTCAAGAACATTCGCAGTGGCCGCCTGAGAGCTTTCGCCACGCTAAGCTTGAGAGCTAATGCTGCTTTATCCTTCCTTGGATGTCTGAGATTGCAAAATAAAAAGACTCTGGTTTTTTAAATTTGATGCTGTAAATTGGTTTTCTGCTTGGTTTCGAGATTTCCATTAATGTTGCGAATTGTTTTTAAAATCTAGCATATTTGATTTGGCAAAATTTATATTTTCTTACAGTTTTAAAATCTCATTTCAATGTGCTGTATGTTTGGTTTGAATCACCTGTGGTGACAAATCTAAGGCTTGTTTCTCAAGAACATTCGCAGTGGCCGCCTGAGAGCTTTCGCCACGCTAAGCTTGAGAGCTAATGCTGCTTTATCCTTCCTTGGATGTCTGAGATTGCAAAATAAAAAGACTCTGGTTTTTTAAATTTGATGCTGTAAATTGGTTTTCTGCTTGGTTTCGAGATTTCCATTAATGTTGCGAATTGTTTTTAAAATCTAGCATATTTGATTTGGCAAAATTTATATTTTCTTACAGTTTTAAAATCTCATTTCAATGTGCTGTATGTTTGGTTTGAATCACCTGTGGTGACAAATCTAAGGCTTGTTTCTCAAGAACATTCGCAGTGGCCGCCCAAGAGCTTTCGCCTTCGCCAGGCTTGAGAGCTTGTGCTGCTTTTATCCTTCCTTGGATGTCTGAGGCTTATTTTCTTATACAATCAATCAAATTGGCATTCTAATTATGTTTCTTGTTTTACATCTACTGTTTTTACAAGTTTGTATTGCTTTTCAACTGGTGCTGATTAATCACATGAAACAGTCCCTGATTCCTATTTCTACTGGAAATTTTAGCACTGGAGACATTGAAAATAACAACATTTTTAATTTAAAGTAAAGACATTGAGAAGGAGAAGTTAGAATACTTTGATGCTTGGGACAATTGGTGGTTGAACTTGCGAGTTAAAGGCTTCCATGCATACTTTGAAATGATGGGAACAAGTATTATTCAACCATGCCATTAATAAGTTGTCACAAACTTCTTTTGTAATAGTTGACCGCTGCTAGGAAAGAAGAAAAAGGAGAGTGACAGAGGATAGGGGAAAAAAAGAGAAACAGAGAGAGAAAAGGAATCTGGTAGAGAGAGAAGAAGAAAAAAAAAAGAGAGAGAGAAGAAGAAAGAAAGAGAAGGGAAGGGAATAAAATATATATATTTTATAATTTTGGATTGATTTGACGATTATATTCTTGGATTTATCAGTTTGTTTGACAGAGGGACTATTTAAAAGCACCCATATTAACGTTAGGGACCATAAGTGATACAAAAAAACTTTAAGAATGCAATCTGATAGTTTCGCAAACGTCAGGGACGTTTTGTGATAAAAAGCCTATAAAAAAAGCATTGTTTGGCTCATTACTTAGAAAGAACAATCCCTCAACTTACTCAAAAAAAAACATATATATGTTTGCTTAAACAACTTATTAAAAATGCAAAAAATAAATGTTATCGTCTACGTATCAACGATAAAAATAACACACCAGCTTGTAATGACACATTTCACATAATATTTCTTTACATAGATGAATTTGGTGGTAGGAGCTTAAGTTGTGGCCGGCTTTTTTTTATTTAGTTTTAATTTTTTACTATATACTTTCTATTGTGCATGATTTGGTCCTATATCACTAGCTAGTAGTGCTTCGCATGCTAAGAGCCTCAAGATTGATAGAATAGAATCCACTATGATTATTAAACCTCTCTCTCTCACTCACCTACTATAAATAAATTGATTAGCTCTCATCTCATCCAGGGGCGGCCTGAGGGTGTGCAAGTGGTGCCACCGCACAAGGCCTCTAATTTTTAAGGGCTTCGAAATTTTTTTACGTGTGTATTATGGATATTAATATTATAGGTATTATATATATATACTTGAGCGAGCAGGAAAGTAAAACAAGTGTGTATTTGGTTGAATTGGAATTCATCCCCTTGATTTTAGCAGGCAAGTTGGGAAACAAAAAGAGTTTATGTCTTCTTCCTCTTCCATTTTCTCAAATTGAAACATTAAAACTTTTATGAACGTTATTTATGATTGCTACTGCATGCTAATAGACGATGAATTTTAGTTATTAAAAAAAATTGTTTTATGGTGTAAAGTAATGGAAATTCTTTTATAAATATTTTCTTATTAGATTGAGATCTCCTATTTAAGTTTTGCACAGTACCCTCAAAATCTCAGAATCGGTCTGAACTCATCTCATCTCGTGCAACCTAGCTCGTGCAACCTAGCTAGCTAAGCTAATATAACTAAACAATTTAATAATAAATAAAAGACGGGCTTGGAACATTGTAATTGACTTGTTGACGTGTGGATGACTGTTGTGTGTGGGATTGTGAGGTGTTATCTAAATTTAAATAATTGTCACCCTCCATCATTTCATGTCATCTGCGGCCCCTACCTACCCACCCACCAACGCTGGAAATTGCCATTTACGTAGATGAGTCCATCAAATTATAAGCACGCTTTCCCTTTCTTTTCCAATAATTCTAGGCACATTCAATTTTGGTCACCATGTAATAAGTTGAGTGCTAGTCTTCTTTCTTTTTCTCGTTGGCAATGAATAATATTTAAGAGTATTTTGTATTTGGGTTGACAGTATATGAGTTGTTTTGTTTGGCTGAGGAGGGGGCCTGCCTCACGACTCTTGAGTCACGATGCCTCAACGCAGGCTGAGCTGGTGCTCATGTCTTTATTATAAAGTTAGGTAAAATAATAGACTATTCATCACTTGCTGATCAATATATATACCAACTTGAACAATTATTTACTAGCTCCTTCAAACAATCAAAGCTGAATGTATATGTCAAAAATGGCTATTATTATTTTTATTGAGAGAAGCGATAGTGTACTAAACTCATATACACTACACGAATACTAGGACTAGAATCCAATACTTTTTCTAGGAGAGCAATTATTTCAAATCATTACAATTACACTAGTGAGTCTTTTTCAAGCCTATTTGACTAAATATAACAAAGTGAAAAATAAAATAAAAAAATTGATGCGTCTCTTCGGTTGCTTTGTTCAAAGTACAAAACAAGAAAAGAAAATCATGTGGAAGACAAGTTAGCCAAACACGTTTTTCAAACTTTTTTCAACATCAATTTTCAATCAATAGGTTGAAAACAACAACCAGCTATCGGAAAACCAAAAGGTAAATCCGCTTTTTCTTTCAAACGTTATCAACTTATTGAGAAATAATTGAAGAAATATGAAATGTTGAATTATTAAATTGAATAACAGTCTAATATATGATGCGGTGCAAATCCTACTTAAAAACGTGTGGTACAAATCTTACTTAAGATGGTGTGGCACATAAGGATTGATTTGAACTCAATTTAATCTAAGTCGGGTCATCACGGAGTTAGTTAGGGAAATATTTTTACTTATCACTTTAATTCAAAGTGTATTATCATCATCACCCTTTTTAATACTTGACACATGTTCATAAACATAATCATAATCAACTTTTTACTTTGTATTTATGAAATCATAATAATACATATGGACACATGTCAAGTGTTGAAAATAATAATGTTGAAAATAATAACGAGAATACACTTTTAATTAAAATAGTGAGCAAAAATACTCTGGTTAGCTAGAGGAGTGACATGGCCATACATAAAGGGCCGACAGATTATAGAGATCAGCAGAACGACGTCTCTTACAAGTGGAAGCTCCTATCGCTCCACTCCATACCTCCTTTGTCTTTATTCTAACCTCCTCATCTCCGCTCTCTGGCCTTGTTTACTTGTTTGTTTGTTTATTACCAAAACAAAAAACAAACAAAAAAGCAAAAAAAGAATAATATATAAACTTCTCAACCCCACCGCCTTTTGTACTCTCTCTTTTATATCCTTCTTCTAATTAGCTAGCTAGCTAGCTATCAGATTCAGCAGCAGATTAGTTGACATCAATTTTCCCGGGAAAGTGAGAGAGAAAGAGCGAGAAAGTTCGAGAGCGTTTTCATTTCCTCAATCTGTTGGCTGAGAGAGGCATTGCTGTATGTCAGTGGAAAACTACTCCAGTGACAGTTACTACGGTGGATACGGTGAGCTCGATAACCCTTCGCAATGGCCGCAACTCAGGAAAAAGCGACGCCTTGTTGCCTGGACGCTGCACCCGCCAAATCCTCGGCTCTGCTTCGCAAGGCCTCCGACCCGATGCGCGATTGGACCGTTTCGGGCTCCGATCCGTCAGAGGATCCGATCCGCAACAGAGCTGCTGTGCCGACCTTGATCCGACCCATCGAGACCCTTCCTGCTACTTCTACAAACACCACTGCTACCAAAGGTAGTAAGAATATCCTTCTTTTTTATTTTCTGGTTTGTTTCCAATTTTTTTATATTTATTTACTGCTACTTTTACAAATAACGATCTTGATTTTAAGACAATGAAGTGATTATATTTTTTATTTTTTGCTGAAGAAAATGATTATCTTTTGTTGTTTGGTTGCTGAGAATATTAAGGAACATGAAATAAAATGAGATGGTTTTGAGTTTACGTGTACTAGTTGGTCGAATGGATTCACTTTTCCAGTCTTCTGGGGTCCAAAATCTTACACGCAAGAATTTTTTTTTTTTTTCCCATTTGTTTTTTTTCTTCCAGTTTAGAAAAAAAAGTTACTTTCGGATTAAACTGGTCTTTGCTTACTCTAACTGCTGAAGGAAAAATAAAGAAAGATTTTTATTCCAGTTTTTCAAAATTGAATGCTAACAATCTCATATTTTGGCCTCTCAAAAAAAAGAAAAAGAAAAAAGGACAATCTCATATTCTGGGTGGCATTGATCGCAGATATGTTTCTGATGATTCTTGTTTAATTATTCATATAGGCATCCCAGTCATGTTGAGGGCTCAAACCAGCCATCCTTTGGAGCCCTTATCTGCTGCTGAAATCTCTGTGGCAGTGGCCACTGTCAGGGCAGCTGGAGCAACCCCTGAGGTTAATCACATTTCTATTATTGATTATGTTTTAGCCTAAAATATGGGTTGGATTCTGTTTACCAGGAATTCAATTTTGACCATTGATTTTCTCATTTGAGGATTATAGGAATTGATTTCATTTCTCTTCAGGTGAGGGATAGCATGCGCTTTGTTGAAGTAGCTTTGGTAGAACCAGATAAACATGTTGTTGCATTGGCAGATGCATATTTCTTCCCTCCTTTCCAGCCATCTTTGCTTCCCAGAACTAAAGGTGGACCTGTGATTCCTAGTAAACTTCCTCCCAGGCAAGCAAGACTTGTGGTTTATAACAAAAAGTCAAATGAGACGAGCGTCTGGATTGTTGAACTATCAGAAGTTCATGCTGCAACTCGAGGTGGTCACCATAGGGGTAAAGTCATTTCATCCAAAGTTGTTCCAGATGTTCAGCCTCCCATGGTATATACAGCCTCCTGTGCATTGTTATTTCTCGATTATTATTTTTTGCATGTGCTTCCCATTTTAGATAAAAAGATTATTTTCATAATTGTTTTTGAAAATACAGGATGCTATGGAGTATGCTGAATGTGAAGCTGTTGTAAAAGACTTTCCTCCATTTCGGGAAGCAATGAAGAAGAGGGGTATTGAGGATATGGACCTTGTGATGGTGGATCCCTGGTCAGTTTCTAAATTGAGATTCTCTCAAATAAATATGTTGCCAGAATATGATTTCACTCTATGTTTAGCTCTTTTTGTAATGTTGTGGAGTATGACTCTTCTTAACAGGTGTGCTGGATACCACAGTGAAGCTGATGCTCCTAGCCGCAGGCTTGCGAAACCGCTTATCTTCTGTAGAACTGAGAGTGATTGCCCTATGGAAAATGGTTATGCTCGTCCAGTTGAAGGAATCCATGTACTTGTTGATATGCAAAATATGGTGGTTCTTGAATTTGAAGACCGCAAACTTGTTCCCTTGCCTCCTGCTGATCCATTGAGAAATTATACTCCAGGTGAAACACGGGGAGGTGTTGATCGAAGTGATGTGAAACCTCTACAGATAATTCAGCCTGAAGGAACAAGTTTTCGTGTTAACGGGCACTTTGTTGAATGGCAGAAGGTTCTTTCTTATTTTCAGGAACTACACCATTGGATTGTCTCATATCAGCATGTCATATTGATTCTTATTCTCTTTTTCTTTCTGCTTGGCAGTGGAATTTCCGTATTGGTTTTACTTCCAAGGAAGGTTTGGTTATCTATTCTGTCGCGTATATTGACGGTAGCAGAGGCCGGAGGCCTGTGGCCCACAGGTTAAGTTTTGTTGAGATGGTGGTCCCTTATGGTGATCCAAATGATCCGCATTACAGGAAGAACGCATTTGATGCAGGGGAAGATGGGCTGGGAAAAAATGCGCATTCTCTTAAAAAGGTTGGGATACCTTCTCTGTTTCCATTTCCCCTTCCATCTCTATCTTTGCTGGATTATATATGCATTTTGACATAATTTTGGTGTTGCAGGGTTGTGATTGTTTAGGCTATATTAAGTACTTCGATGCACACTTTACAAATTTCACTGGGGGTGTTGAAACAATTGAGAATTGTGTTTGTTTGCATGAGGAAGATCATGGAATTTTATGGAAGCATCAGGATTGGAGAACAGGTTTAGCAGAAGTTCGACGATCTAGAAGGCTGACAGTATCTTTTATTTGCACTGTCGCTAACTATGAGTACGGATTTTACTGGCATTTTTATCAGGCAAGCTATCCTCTGCCTTGATTTCACTGGGGATTTTGATTTGCTTGTATTGCTTTGATTAGAAGAATCACCTGTGTCATCGTGTTCATAAATTATTACCTATAAGTTATACAGATGCCCATTACTGTGATGGGATGGGGCTGGGCCACCATCTTGATGGTAGCATATGGATTCAGTTACCATAGTAGTGTCTCTGTGCTTCTAATCCATTTGATCTACCCTGCTCTCTTTCTTTTGGGTATGATTTTGTTGTTTGAGTTGAGCAACTAAAGTGACAGTCATGCTTATCAATTTTCTTTTGTAGGATGGGCATATTGAAGCTGAGGTGAAACTTACCGGAATTCTAAGCTTAGGTGCACTGCAACCAGGAGAAACCCGAAAGTATGGTACAACTATTGCACCTGGACTATATGCACCAGTGCATCAACACTTTTTTGTAGCTCGTATGGACATGGCAGTTGATAGTAAGCCTGGTGAAACTTTCAATCAGGTCATTCATGTGTTCTTTGGATCCTTTATTTATAGTCTTGTAGTTTGTTAGATCAGGTTTTGAATCTACCAATATTTATATTGATAAAAGTAACATCCTAGTTTCTTTTCACTCTCAAGTCAACTCTTTAGCAAGAAATATGGATAGCCATTGCAAGTGATTTGAAGGATCAAGCAGCCTTGTCTTGCTGTGATTCCAATTCCAATGTTTGTTCTCTTAAGACTTCTATGATAATCATTCATTATTCATGTCCTGTATGGTTTGTTCTTCAAGTGTTTCATGGGTCAATGGTTTAAATAACTCAATAGAGCTGGGTTGTGGTTCTTCCTCTGGGTGTTGAAGCCTTATTTAAGAAAATTTGTAAGCCTTTGGGATTAACCAACAGGTGAGGGTGGTTGGAAAAATGGTTTACCATTATGCTAGGTCAAGGGTTCAATTCCCTGCCATTGTAACCCAAAAGGAAAAAAAAGAAATCCGTGTCTCAGCTTTACCCCTTCCATAGAGTAATTGTGGAAAAATCTCCTGATGCATATGTAGAGCCAGGGGTTACCCCGGGCCCCAATAATCTAGGAGCCTATATGAACCCATATGAAATTCTTGGGATAAAATTTTCTGATGTCAGGGTTATATGTGAGATTTTAAAGCAATGGTTTTTCTTATGATCCTGCAGTTGTTACATTTGCTGAAATGGATGCCGATGCTTTACAAAATGATAGAAGCATACGGTCTTTTGTATCATTCAAATTTTAAATTTTCATAGTAGAATTCTAATTATTACAAGGCTCACCTTATTATGCACTCTAGGTCAACCTTTCACTTTCCTTTTTCTTTCTCTTTGAATATGTTGATAACCATAGCCTTATTTCTCTCTCTTTTGCTTTCCTTTTTCCCTCAGGTGGTTGAAGTAAATGTTAAAGTTGAAGAACCAGGAAAGAATAATGTTCACAACAATGCATTCTATGCTGAGGAAAAATTGCTGAAATCAGAATTGCAAGCAATGCGTGATTGTAATCCTTTATCTGCTCGCCATTGGATTGTAAGACAACACCCTTTAGTGCTTTAGGAATGATTAAGTTTTTCTCTTTGCAATTTAAGTTCATATATTAATTTCTTGAATGCCACATGGTATTTCCTTATTTTAGGTCAGAAACACCAGAAATGTCAACCGGACCGGGCAGCTAACAGGTTACAAGCTAGTACCTGGTTCAAATTGTTTACCACTAGCTGGTTCCGAGGCAAAATTTCTGAGAAGAGCTGCTTTTTTGAAGCATAATCTTTGGGTCACATCTTATGCACGCGACGAAGTGTATCCTGGAGGAGAATTTCCTAATCAAAATCCACGCATTGGGGAGGGATTGGCCACTTGGGTTAAGAAAAATCGGTCGCTGGAAGAAGCTGACATTGTTCTTTGGTGAGTGGACTTTTATTTCTCTGAAAATACTAAGATGTTAATGCGCGTGTTGAGTTCATCCTATACTCTGAAAGGGGGAGGAATATTACTGGGCAGGGGACAATAATCCTAATTTTTAGTTGAAATGAGAAAACAGTACAATGAGAATACTCATGGGAGAACTAGGAAGGTATAAATGGGCCTCATAATCACGTTTGAAACTTAGGACAAGGTCTTCGTAAGCTAACTGAAAGTGAATAAAGGAGGATACAGTCCATCTGTCCGTGTTTATGTGTTGGTATGGATCCCAGCTTAATGCAGGATCTGATCAGTGTCCAATTGTTGCAGGTATGTATTTGGAGTGACACACATTCCTCGACTGGAAGACTGGCCAGTGATGCCTGTAGAACGTATTGGTTTTACGCTCATGGTACATAATTTATTGTTTTTGTTCAATTTCTTCCTCACTTGTGTTTAAACACTCTTACATTTGTATTATATACCTTTTTGCTAGAACAGTTTTACTGTAACTCAGTACTTCATGGGATCAAAGGCTTTCTGTCTTTACAAAACCATGCTATATCACAAAGTATACAATTAGGTTTGATAAAGCCTCATGATTCTGATTTGCCTTACTATTTGTAATGCAGCCACATGGGTTCTTTAATTGCTCAACGGCGGTGGACGTCCCCCCGAATACATGCGATTTGGACCTCAAGGACAATGGGATGACTGCAAAACCTATTCAGAATGGACTACTGGCTAAGCTCTAAAAACGAAAAGGACAAGGATGCATGCTATGGAGAGATTCTACGAAAACCTATTTAGGTAGTCAAGTGGCATGCTTATGGTCACATTAGTTATATTTTAAGATAGATCAACGAACTTATTCTCTTATTATAAAACAATGTATGGTGCTGAATATCTTTGCCCAACTCTTTTCTTTGGTGCTCAAACTGAGGCTGGTCATAGGATGACATGAGTCATGGTCGCTCTGTGTGTGGCTTCCATTCCATATACAACAAGCTTCTTACATTTGGTTTGATTATAATATCCCTGGAATGATTGTCATTTAAACGTTGCAATCTTTACTCTTATTATATAGAGCGCTTCCAGTTATTGGAGGAAGTAATATTATCACACGCACAGGTGTTTTTTTTTATTTTTGTTAATTATAAATGTCAACTTTTCAAGACAAAGACAGTAGTAGTCACAGTAAACTCAATAATTCCTATAGAACTTAACTGGACTGGACCATTCTATGGTAATGGACATTTTAAAACTGTTTATTTTAAAGGATGTAATTTAATCTAAAAAAAGTTTGTATCATATATGTTCTAATTCTAATAATAATATAAATGGGTTAGGTTAATTGTTCAAGGGTGCGGGTCTGACTTCTTGCCACTGTGATTCCCTTCTCTTTTCCGTACATTAGAGTAGTTAAAATACGACAATGTAAAAAATATATATATATTTTTATAATATTTACTTCCAATTAGAATATCGCTTTGTAAAAAATATATATTTGTTCTTTATACTTACAATTTAAATAACTTGTACTGTATGCCTATATGAATGCATGATATTCAAATGATACAAAATTAATTGTGGTTGTGACCTAGTTATAAACAATTTTAACACATTGGGTTTGATTATTAATGCGATAGATAACTGAACATTTGGGGTTCAAATAGTATTTCAATGTTTTGAAAAAGAATAATATTTAGTGTTCAAATCGTGAAAATCTGCCCACGCGGTAACTTTGCTATTGATATTGGAAACAAGTTTCTTTCCTTCTTAATATAGTTCTTGTTGCTCTCCCAAAATAAAAGAAAAAAATAATCGATAATTAATGTGAAAATCCCTAAATACACGTTTCCAATTCTCGACTCCCCAGTGGACCCTGCCCCTTTCTTTTCTTTTTTTTTTAATAAAAAAAGTGGACCCCACTCCTTTCTTAAAAAGTGGAATGAAATGACCATGGGCTAGAAAGTCATTTTTGCCAAAAGAAAGAAAATAATTAGAAAGACTAAAAAACTAACGTAAAACACCGGTTACGAAGACTAATTGACTCGTCTTCCTTCTAATTTTCAATTCGCGCGCCGAAAAGATTATCTTAAATAAATAAAATTATTTAATTTTATAAATTTATAAAAAATGAAAATGAAAAAAAAATAATAATAAAGAAAGTTAGGGTCAGAAATTTCAGGGTACGGAGCGGAGCAGACACACACGCAAACATGCTATTACCAACAAGAAGCCAAGAACCCGAGAAGAATAAATAACAGTGACAAAGCTGAGTCAATCCCCCTCTTCTTCCCCAGCTTTTATTTGTCAACTCGGCCGCTGACTCGTCCTCGACTCACTTGACTTGCCTCCCCAAAACAGCACAAGCAAGAGGAGACTGAAGCGAGCGATGGCTTCGGAAGAGAAGCGCATCGAAGACGAACTGTCCTACCCGATTTTGCTGTCGGAGCGGGTCCGGTCCGCCGTGGACGAGGCCGAGTCGTTCAAGCTCGAGTGCTCCGAGGTCGGCAAGCAGGTGGATCGCCTCTCGCAAATGCTCCGAACCGTCGTCCGCTTCGCCACGACCGCGCCGTTTTTGTACGAGCGCCCAATTCGGCGTATCGTCGCCGAGGTCTCCAAGAATCTCGAGCGAGCCCTAACCCTGGTCCGCAAGTGCAAGCGCCAGAGCGTCCTACGACGTGTCGTTACGATCACCAGCGCCACCGACTTCCGCAAGCTCTTCAACTTCCTCGAGTCTTCCGTCGGAGACATGAAGTGGCTGCTCAGCATATTCGACCCGGACTCCGGGGGCAATAACGGAATTGTGCTCTCCCTCGCCCCGATTGCCAGCAACGACCCGATTCTCTCGTGGGTTTGGTCCTTCATCGCCACCATTCAAATGGGTCAGTTGCCGGATCGTGTTGAGGCTGCGAACGAGCTCGCTTCCCTGGCCCAAGACAACGACCGGAACAAGAAGATTATCGTCGACGAAGGTGGGGTCTCGCCGCTGCTGAAGCTCTTGAAAGAGGGCTCGTCGCGGGATGCCCAAATTGCGGCGGCGACGGCGCTCTATAATCTGGCCAGTGATCAGGAGAAAGTGAGGACCATTGTGAATGAGGTTGGGGTGCCCGCTATTGTGCAGGTTCTAGGCGACTCGCCGATGAAGGTTCAGAGTCGAGTGGCGACCTTGGTGGCGAGAATGGCGGAGCATGACAGTGTTGCCCAAGAGGATTTCGCTAGAGAGAATGTGATCAGGCCGCTGGTGACGCTGTTGTCGTTTGAGACTTTCGTGGATGATCGGAAGATTGAATTGGGTAAGCAAAGCATTCACTCTCTGGTTCAGATTAACAAGGAAATGGAGAAGAGCACATTAGCAAAATCCATACTCAGTAGCAATAGTCGTGAGAGTAATTTTACACCTTACTTGAATTCATATTCGAGTTCTTCTTATACTTATTATGCGGAGGGGAGTAGTCGTGGGGGACATAATCATAGGAAGGAGAGGGAGAATGAGAAGCCCCATGTTAAGCTTCAGCTGAAAGTTAGTTGTGCAGAGGCTTTGTGGATGCTTGCTAGAGGTAGTGTTTCGAATAGTAGGAGGATAACTGAGACGAAAGGATTGCTTTGCTTGGCTAAGTTGGTGGAGAGGGAACAGGGTGAGTTGCAATTCAATTGTTTGATGACTATAATGGAGATAACAGCTGCGGCTGAATCCAATGCTGACCTTAGGCGAGCGGCGTTTAAGACCAATTCGCCAGCTGCGAAGGCAGTTGTGGATCAGCTCTTGAGGCTGATCAAAGATGTGGATAGCCCGACATTGCAAATTCCTGCTATAAAATCAGTTGGTTCATTGGCTAGGACATTCCCAGCTAGGGAGACCTGGGTCATTGGTCCCCTAGTGACTCAACTTAGCCACAAAAATCTAGACATGGCAACAGAAGCAGCAATTTCACTTGGGAAATTTGCTTGTCCAGATAATTTTCTCTGTATGGAACATTCAAAGACGATTATTGAGTTCAATGCTATCCCACCTCTGATGAAACTGCTAAGAGGCAATGAACACTCACAGTTGCATGGACTGACTCTCCTATGCTACCTTGCATTACACTCTGGCAATACCAACGCTTTGGAACCGACTAGGGTGTTGACTGCTCTTGAAGGGGCAGACCGTAGTGCGCTGCCTCAACATCCCGAGTTGAGAGAATTGTTGGCGAAGGCAATATATCACCTCAATCTGTACCACACTGGAGGTCATTCTCAAAGGCTGACATACGTGCCTTGAAAACAAGTTCAGCGGGCAAGAGGACCGAAGTTTGTTGCAGGAATATCATTATGCTGTGCAGTAGTAGTAGTAGGATCAGTTTGATACTTTTGAAAGGGAAGGAAACAGGGCTCATACAAACATAGTTGAATTATAAGATAAATGCAAATGTTCAGAATTAATTGTTCTTGAGAAAAAAACAGAGATGACTTGTTTATATGAAAAGAATACTGAATGATTAGAGCTGGTTATCAAGAACTTTGGGCCCATCTAACCTTCAATCAGCTGCATGAATTGCAGATGTAGAGTTGGTTGCCTACCCGACCTCCTCGTTTAGAGGCCCCCTCAATTATGCATTAATAAACTACTCTTCTTTTCCTATCTTCATTTGGAGACGACGTCGTTTCACTTTGAAAAATCTACCAGACTTCTCACATCATCGAAGGAAAATATTTATAATAATTCTTGGACTTGCACACGATAATGGCTTCATCTTTGGAGCAAACTAGTTTAGTGAATTATTTACAAAGAATGTCTTAAATACAATTGAGCTTTCTCATACAAACAAAAATCTCAAGTTTGCCACCTGGAACTCCAAAATCAATACTGTCCTCAACTAGCAGGGTTTCCAACACATGCCCTAATTACAGAAAAGAAATCCGATAATGGCTTTTGTACAATTTTCAGTGGGATGTTTTATGAACTTTGTCACATCAAGTAATCCCCTGATGACACTCTTTTCACATCATTACTAACTCACTCTTCCTAAGTTAGCATTGCAAATTTTCCCCAAATAGCCCAAAATGCCACCGGTTTTTCAGTTTTAAGTGGAAATACCAGCCCTCCCCAAAATTTTTGCAAATACCACCTATAAATATATATTTATTATCCACTTATTGCCCAAATATCACTTTTTCTGAAATTGACTTCTCTCTCAGCTCTCTCTTGGCTCTGTCTCTCTCTGTCACTCAAGTCTCTTTCTCTCTCTTCGCTCTTTCTCTATTGCACGCTGCTCTCAGTCACTCTTATGTAGCACTCTCTCTCTCTCTCTCTGACGCAGTGCTCTTCCTCCCTCAGCGGTGTGTGTTCATCGAAGCTCAACTCCATCATTCACCTAAAGGTACTGTTCATCGTCATTTTCTTAGTCTGAAGTTGGTTTAGGGTTTATGTGTTTCTATAAAATTGGTTTAGGTGTTTATTCGAAATTAGCTTAGAATTCTCTGAAATTGGTTTAGGGGTTAGTCTGAAATTCGTTTAGGGTTTATGGGTTTCTCCTGTGATGGATGTAAGGACTGCTGCTTAGTTTTTCTCAATTTTGTGTTTAAGAGGTATGTTTTACTTTGTTTTAAGATGGTATTTGCATTTTGCTGCATATTTGGATGTAATTTTTCGCCATTGAAGAGTGGCTATAATTGAAGTAGTCACCCTTGCTATCTTGAAATTGGACTTCAATTTAAGATATAAATCATTTAGTTTAATCCATCGATATGGAGTGAGGTGGGAAAGGGTTCTTGGGGCTGAACCTGAACCTTAACTCATCATTAGCGTCAATCCTTGCATTGAGAAGAGAACAAAAGCTGTTCAAGAATTACATACTGCACAAGATGACTTTGGCAACAACAAACTTCCCTCTTCCTAAAATTCTTGAACAACTTTTGTCCTCTTCTCAACGCAAGGATTGAAGCTAATTATGAGAATAATGACGTGATTTTCTAGTGTCTCAACTTCCTAGTGAATTTCTACCTAAAAGAATCAAATTTCACATACAATCACATATGCATTGACAAGTGACAGATATATTAAATAGATATAAGCCAATCACATATGTTGCAGCTTTCAATTCAAAGAGGTACACAAGTTAAAACAAAGATGATTTTGATAAAAAAGATTTGAAATTTGATTGCAACGTATTAATATTGTTGTGTTGCAGTGAGAAATTTGAAGGCTTTGAGGCCTGCGATCTTTGCTCTCAGAAGCTCTCACTTCTCCACAGCTGCCGAGCCATCTTCCAAGCAGGGTAGCCCTCCGGTAATCAATCTTAGCCTGGCTTAGCTCCTGTTTGTTTCCTAGGAAAAATGAACTCCGGGAAAATGATGTATCATTCGCACACATGTAGCTTGTAGTTTTGACTATGTATTTTTTTATTTTGACGAGTACATGATTTGTTTGTATTCAAGTGGGTTCATGGTTACTATTACTGAGTAGACTTCGGTTATCATGATTTGTTTGGCTGTTGAGAAAATAGTCTAAAAACGAAAAGATGAAGAGAAATGAAATGGAAGCAGCTGTTGGGAAGGTTCAGATTGGAGAATTACTGTAAAATGTATATTCATTTTTCTCATTTAATCTAATTTTAATTGGTTATGTTGTATCAGAGCGTTCCCAATCTAATTGGAGGTAGTTTTGTTAAATCACAATCATCTGCGTCCATTGATGTTATCAACCCTGTAAGTGCATAATATGCTTCAGTTCTTCTTTTCTTTTCTCTCTTTTTGTAACTTTACAGAATTCATGGTTGTTATCTTGTATTTAAAACTTGGTCATAGGCAACACAAGAAGTTGTTTCACAAGTTCCTTTGACCACAAATGAAGAGTTTAAAGCTGCAGTGTCTGCAGCAAAGCAGGCTTTTCAATCATGGCGCCACACACCAGTTACGGCCCGTCAACGTGTCATGTTCAAGCTCCAAGAGCTTATTCGGAGAGACATTGTAAGTGCACTGGGTTTGAACTTTGAAATAGTCTTTCTCTGTACATTTAAATAAGGATACAGTTGGTTGAGTAATACAAATCTCTTTATTCTGTTTTCAGGATAAGCTTGCCTTGAATATTACCACTGAACAGGGAAAGACATTGAAGGATGCACATGGAGATGTGTTTCGTGGGCTAGGTCAGTGTTTGTACTTTGTTGTCAATAAGATTCTCTGCAGGATAATTACGGAGTTCAGTGGGTGATGTTGAAGCTCTGAGAATTTATTGGTTTCTTATTCAGAGGTGGTGGAGCATGCTTGTGGTACGGCAACTCTGCAAATGGGGGAGTATGTTTCTAACGTAGGAAGTTACTATTCGGCATTGGACATTTGTTGCACCACGATGACAAAACTGTAAGCCATACCGTTCTGAAGAACGCTCCTCCCAAACGACACACGCATTTATGGTGATCCCTGGGAAACCAGAAGCACAACTCAAAGAAAAACATCAACACAACCAATAAAATGT